CTTGCAAATGTGCATTTCATCTTCGTTTGCGGTTTTCAATTGTGTTGCTTTACAGAGGATGCCCAACTTAGGCAAAAGGAAAAGTCAGACTATCCCAAGCTGGGTATGACCCCCCAGAAATTCTGGGTTGTTTGCGAGGGATTCCCGGCCTCCTTTCATTGGTAATCAAAGTTGAAATTTCTTCCCAAAAAAAAAAAAAAAAAAAAAAGTCAGACTATTTCCTGAGAGACGTTTCCAGTGAAAAAGAGAGGCTTTAGCAAAGCCAGGAAGAAAAAGGGGAGAGGGAAGAAGGGAGAAGGTGGCAGGATGGGTAGAAAAGGAAGCAAGCAACCATCGGTGTACATGTCCACGCGATGCTCCACTCATGATAGACACACTGGCGGCAGCTTCCAGTCCCTCCAACCCTCCTCCTCCGTCCTACCCTCCCCTCTCCCCCCCCCCCAAAAAAAAAAAAAAAAAAAAAAAAAAAAAAAAAAAAAAAAAAAAAAAAAAAAAAAAAAAAAAAAAAAGAAGAAGAAGAAGAAAAGAAAAGAAAAAAGAAAGAAAGAAAAGAAAAAGAAAAGAAAAGAAAAGAAAGAAAGAAAGAAAGAAAGCAGGCAGGCCTGCGTTGCTTCATTTTTTTTTGGCGTGCAGGGCAAGTTTAGGCTCTCGGCATCAATAGCTGGTCCATGTACTGGTGGTTTAGACAGTAGTTCGAACTACATGCGTTCCGGTGAGGAAGGTTCTACCGTTCTACCCTCTTGACTCCCATCTTCAGGCCTGAACTTTCAAGTGAAGAGCAGTTACTGTGGTTCAAAAGCAAAGTTGAAAATTTAATCTGGTCAGAACTAGTAACCAGGTTGGTTCAAAAAAAAAATGGTTGGAAACTTCGAACCAAACCAGGTCTTTTCAACTTGAAGTGCGGTTAGACCAAAACAGGTTAGTTCAAACTTCAACCATTGGTTATAACATTTGAACTTTGTTTTAACCAATGTTTGAACCATTGTCATAACATTTTTAACTTTGTTCTAACCAGGTTAAACTTTGAACTAACCGCACTTTCAAACATTGGTTATAACAAACCAGGGTGAGGTTATAACGAAGTTCAGATGTGGTGAGAACAAAGAACAAACCACCTGAGGTTACCTTAGTTCAAACGTAGTTAGAACGAAGTTAAGTTAAACCAGGTTGGTTCAGATGTGGTTCGAACAAACCGGCTGTGGTTAGTTCAAGTGTGGGGGTTGGAACAACCGCCAGGAATTTCTGTAAAGCTTTCTGACTCCCATCGGCTGTGGTATTTGTTCTTCGAGCCAGGTTAGTTAAAATGACGTTAGAACCAACCACCAGCGGAGGTTCGCTCTCTCTCTCTCTCTCTCTCTCTCTCTCTCTCTCTCTCTCTCTCTCTCTCTCTCT